TTGAGAAGGTCGGGGATCAGAAATCTAAAAATCTATGAATATTTTGAATACTATGTCCAAAAATTATTGGGCTGAAAAATCTTACAGGGGAAGTACCCCAAGTGCGACGCTCAGATTTTGATGAAACTAGGCACAAATTTAGAATAATTTTTTCTAAAGTATAAGCGAAAATCCTAGCTCGCGTTTTGCAGAAACAACCGAGATTTTTAGATCGAAAGTTGGCGAAAATTTAGGACTTTTTGCCGAATTTCGGCACGAAAAGTTTCATGCCTATTTCTACCATAAAGGATAATGTTTCTACAAAAAATCAAATTTTTCCGCACGAAACTGCCAAAGTTATGGCCAAGAAGCGTCTTTCTCTCTGACCGCTCTCCACGTATAGCGTGCTCTCTCGGCGGCAAAAATCGTTCGATATCTCGGCGGCGATATCGAACAAAGCGCGAGCTAAAACTTTCAGGAATTGATATCTAGTCCATGCCCGACGTGTGTGCAAAATTTTAAGAAAATCTGAGCGTCGCACTTGGGGTACTTCCCTTGTTAGTCTAGAAATAAAAATCCTCACTTCATGATTTTACATGTGATTAGTGTGAAGAAATTGAAATTGAACAGTTAATTTGGAGGGTTTCCTAGATGAACCTTTGAAACATTGCAAATACATGTTCCGTTCAACCTACGATTAACGTTTTCACAAAGTGCCTGGACATTTGTCGCGGTCCGCACCGTGCACAAAAATTTGCGAGTATGTCCCCCACTACATCTTCCTGCAGAAGACTTATCAGCGGATCTCTGTAAGTCCTCCTCCCAGCGTCCGTCGTCATCGCCCTCTTGTGCTCTGCACGTTCCACGGTACAGTTGGGACTGAATTGGGTTGCTCCAGCCGGCTTTATACCCATGATTACAGGTATCACCTTCAAATCACTGCAAAGCAGGACCCGTGCACTCACCTCTTTTTGGTTTTGCACTGTGCATTTGAAATATCGCTGCGACGCGCCGCCGCGGTTTTGCTCAAAAATGGGCACAGTGCAATCGGCTTTCTTGGGGTTTACACGGAAAGCAAAGGCAAAAATCCACAATGCGTTGGCGACAAAAGTTCAAGATGGACTGTGCGAAAGCGAAAAAATGTCCAGGCACTTTGTAAAAAAGCTAATAGGCTTTTTTGAGCTGTTCCTCCCACCCCTTTCTGCACAGTGCGAACGCCAACAATCACTCCAGCGACTCTATGGATGGGCAACCAGTCGTTCCAGAAAGTGCGTAGACTCTTTTCTGCCTTCCTTCGCAAAGCACAGTGCATGATGTGCGATGCTATCTTTTTCGAAACATGTTGCATAGCGCAATTTCTTTTCGCCCGCCCAAAAAGAGGGTTTGTGCATCGTGCGGCCTACGACAAAAAGTCTACGCACTTATAAAAAAACGTAATACTAAAAAAGCGTCCTGAGCGTTCCCATTTTTCACAGCGAAAACTCATTTTTTCAGAGTGCGACGGAATTTGAGGCAAATTCTCAGGACTTTTTGCGCCATGTAGCATTCAAAAAATAGAGCAAAATTTCAAAAAAAAAACACTCACAAAAAGATTTATACGGAAGAAGGTCAACGTTTCTCATGCTAGTAGCCGTGACCAAAACAAAGAAATTCCAGGAAGAAAGGATGGTTCAGATTTTTATAGCGAATGACTCAACCAGAAAAAAAACATTATTTTTGTATGGGCAAACCTGGGAGGGCGAACCATTTATAGGAAAGAGAAAAATAATAATTTTCGGAATGGACAACACATTCCTTTGGTTTTTCTTTATGTTTAGGGCGAGATTAGAGGCTTTATACGGCTAAGAATGGATGTAAAATGTATCAGAGAGAGTCACAGGAGAAAAAATACAGTCAAACCTCTGTACTAGCCGCGACATAAAGTCCGTAGAATTTTCTGCACTGTGCATAAACCCGAAAAAGCATTTTGCACTGTGCATTCACCCGAAAACACATTTTGCACTGTGCAATTTTGTTGATTTTGCCTTATTGTCGCGCGCGATTCCCGTTTTTCGCAGCGACAAATCAACATTTCGGAGCGCGACGGAATTTGGGGGCCGCGAAAAATTCTACGGACTTTATGTCGCGACTAGTAAAATGACTTGCAAGGGACTAAAAATATGAGTTTTTTGGCCTAAAACGTTGGTATAGGTCACTAAAACACATTCCCAAAATTTTTTTGCCCAGTGATGCCCGGAAGGTAGAAATTTGCATACGGTTATAACCGTCCTTCTGAGCTCTGCTGTTGCTGTCGCAATAAAGACAACTTGACGAAAACGACTCCATATAGGTTTTGGTGGACTATCAGGTTCTCGGAAAAATAGTGAGCGCTCTGTCGCATCGAAAATCGCATCGCCGCCGAGAAAATGAATTGTCTTCGCGGCGAAAACAAATTGCTTTTCATTTCAGCAACGCGATCGGCAACATTGCTTTCATTATTCTCCCGACAGACCGACAATTCTCCGCATTTCCCCAAAAAAAATTAAAGTCACCATAATTCGAGTCAACCCCAAATCCACCCTCCAAACTGTCAGTCAGTTCGCCACACTAATCCCTGCACTCCACCTGAGCCATGTCCGCCTTGTAGGGCTGACATCGGCGCACTTGAAACGCGAGTCAAACCCACCGGGAAAAGACGGCGGAGTGACCAGTTTGCAAGAATAATATTTGTTTTAAAGCCCTCTTCTCTTTTTTCGATTATTAGAGTAAACAGCGCTGCGATCAGTGACGGGTTTCGATTTCCCGTGAACCGAAACTGATTTTTTAATGGAATTGCGGAGTAATTGGAAGTATTAATTTGGATGATATTGTGATTTTAATTCATTTTAGGGCCGGAAAAATACGGAAAATTGTCAAAACCGCGAAATTAGAGTTCTGTTTGCTCGGAAAAGGTGTTGGTTACGCTCTTTGACCTGCCTTTTTGACCATGCAAATATAGCGGAACCTCTGCATGACAATTTGCATGGGACAGGAAAGTATTCGTTATAGAAGGGATATCGTTGCATGACTGTTAAAAATGGCCTGAAATTCGCATCTGGATTCACTAGAACTGTTCTTGTAGAAAGGTTATGTTGTACGGAGGTTTTTCGTACAGCTGTATAAGTGTAAAATTAGAAATTTTTTTGAGTGTAAAACAGTAATTCGTTTGCGTCTTGAAAGTGAAAACTCTGTACAAAAGACTCTGTATTGCAAAACCTGTTCATAGCGAACAATTTTAGAAGTTGCAGGAGCCCTTTTTCGCCTAAAAAGGTTGTAGGAAACGCCTATGAGGCCTGGAAAAGCCGTTGTATGACGCTCGGCGAAGGCTCGGCGGAGAGTTGGCGAAGACTTGCAATACGTGAACTTTTTCTAATTTTAGCTATTATTAATGTTCGTTTTCTTTACCCTGAGTCATTATAACATATAAATGACGAAAAAATTGTGTCGCTAACCCGAAAAGTCGTAGCGAGGTCATGCTATATACCTACCGGACGATGTTAACACGTATAATCTACTGTTTTTCCTCTCAAACCTCAAAATATTCACCATGCCCATTAAACTGACCATTGCAATATAACGCAATAAAAAAGTAATAGTATCAAAAAAAAATGTTTGACTAACCCGAAAAACATTGCCTTAGGGAATTTGCCATAGCATGAAAAAAACAAAAATACCCAAAGCAGTATTACTATTACTTTTCGGATCAAACAAGCGAGAATCCAGCCCAAAAACCGACCATTCATTATCTCATCCTCACTGTGCAAATACTCGCCCATTCGAGAGGGCCGCCGCGATTACATCGGATATGCGGCCCAATGATTCCCACGTGTTTTTTTCGCGGAGACTGACCATATTCATGAGGACCGGGAAGATATTTGGCCCCCGCCCCGCGTCTTCGGGAGAGAAAAAAGAAATGTCCACTCTTTCGCATCCGCTTCCGTCCATTTGTTGTCATTCACAACTCGGATTTATTGCACTTCATGGAGATGAATTGCGAGGAGAGCCAAATTTATGGTAACAGCTCAAGGAGTGGAGGAGTGTAAAATCTTATTAGTAATTGTCCTTCCGGAAAGTCGCCGGTCTGATTTTTGGTGTTTGCACTGTGCGAAAAAAAATCGAGCGAGAGCCGAAAAAAATGCTTATTGCACTGTGCATAAAGCAAAAAATTGCACAGTGCAAAGAAATCTTTTGTTTTCGCACAGTGCGTGTCGCCGATTTCAGTCGGGCGATGGACTTTTTTCCTCTTTTGCACAGTGCAATTTGAACTTTTCCCCACGCTTGTCGCCAGCGCACAGTGCATTTTTCTCTTTTCGCACTGTGCAAACCTCAAAAAGGTCGTTTGCATTGTGCTAATTTATATTGATGCATAGTGCGGAAATCCGAAAAAAGGTGGAATGCACAGTGGAAAATGGGGGTTTTGTGCACGGTGCGGGCGCGACAAGTCTCCGTGCACTTTATGGAACATCCAAGACATTTTTTTCTCTTTCGCACAGTGCATTTCAACTTTTTCCCACGCTTGTCGCCAACGCACAGTGCATTTTTATCTTTTCGCACAGTGCAAACCTCAAGAAAAACCGTTTGCACTGTGCAACTTTATATTGATGCACAGTGCGAAAACAAAAAAAAAGTGAAATGCACGGTGCAAAATGAAGGTTTGCGCACGGTTTTTTCGAGTTTGGACAACAAAATCAGCGTTATTTCTATCAAAGAATATGTACAACGTTTCCACAAAAAAACAATAAAATTTTTCCGCGCGAAACTGGCAAAGACGTGGCTAGAAAGCGTTCCTCTCTCTGACCGCTCTCTACATTTTCCGTACTCTCTTGTTGCTGAATATCTCGGCTGCCCCTGGAACGCGTGAACTATACACCTGTCAGGAATCGATGTGTGGCCTAAGCCCAACTTTGTGACCAAAAATAAACGGAAATCGAAGCGCCAAGCAGTGCTTATTTCCTGATCAATTCAAATGTACAATTTATTAAAAAATCCAGACAGAACACGAGCTACGTGTATCCATTCTCCTTCTTCACGGAGTCTTTGATCTGCTCACTGAGCCATCCAATCCCTGACACCAATCCCTGACCGGTAATCGCCGAACTTTGCACAATGTTCCAGTTGTGTTCGCGGATCACATCCAGCCCCAGCGAGATGTTGATCTCAGGCGTGCTGAGGGCGCGCGAGTCGTCGCACTTGTTGGCGAACACTAGGATTGGTATCTGAAATCGAGGTTTTTACATTTATTAGAAATTTTCTGTAGTATTATACGTATATATACGGTATAATATACCGTATATATATCAAGAAAAAACAAGACCGCTTACCCGTTTTGCTTTGATATCTTTGTGATCCAATATCATCCAAAGCTCATCGCGCGCTACCGCCATCCTCAATCGATCCGTACTGTCAACAACGAAGATGATTGCATGTGCTGTCTTGTATTGGGTCTCCCAGAGAGTTCGGTATTTACCTGAAAGGAAAGAGGTATAAGTAAAAGCAAAGACTTATGATGCGCATTTTTTATTTTATTCCTTATCCGATCGCTGAAGACATATTTGAGATTCTTAGCTTCACTTTTTTGCAGGTGTTAGATGAAAAGTTTCGTACCTACAGTGAGGGACCGGATCCAATGGCAAAAAACGTCTCATTTTGCATCCCGGAAGGGACAAAAATGTCTCCAAACCGTTACCTTCTCTAAGCTAAAAAACCCCGCTTTGAAGAGCCCGCCTTGAAGGAAAGGGCGCGCTGTATCCGTAGGAAGGGAACTGTATCCCTACCGTAGAGGGTAATGTTTCCACAAAAAAGTAACTTTTTTCGAACGAACCTGGCAAAGATATGGCCAAAAAAGTTCTTTTTTCTCTTTTATATACTCTCTAACAATAAGCACTATCTTTTTCAGAGCTCGCCCTTTGAAGATACAACCGAAATTTTTAGGTTGAAAGCTGCCAAAAAATGGCATTTTTTGTATGTCGAAAGTCGGCCAAAGTCCGATTTTTTTGCCCATGAAAAAATTTAAGCCTTATTTCTACTACAGAGCGCAATATTTTCACAAAAAACGAACTTTTTCCGCGCGAAACCGGCAGAATTATGGCAAAAAGGCGATTTTTTGTCTGACCGCTCTCCGAATTTTTCGTAGTCTTTTTTTTAGAGATATTGAACAAAGATTGTTCAAAATCTCTAAAAATTTTCAGGAGCTGATATGTGGCCAACCCCCGAGGCGTGAACAAAATTTAAAGAAAATCTGAGCGCCGCACTTGCAAATCTTCCTTTTTTACAAGGGAGTACGACGCTCAGATTTTCTTTAAATTTTGCACACGCGTCGGGCATAAACTAAATATCGATTCCTGAAAGTTTTTGCTCGCGCTTTGCAAGCGCCACCGAGATATGGAACTATTTTTCTCGCCGAGAGAGTACGCGAAACGCGGAGAGCGGTCAGAGAGAAATCGCTTTTTTGGCCATAACTTTGGCAGTTTCGTGCGGAAAAAATTTTTTTTTGGGGAAACATTGCTATCTATGGTAGAAATAGGCATAAAACTTTTCATGTCGAAATTCAACAAAAAGTGTTAAAATTTCGCCGACTTTCGATCTAAAAATCTCGGTTGTTTGTGCAAAGTGCGAGCTAGGATTCTCGCATATATCTTAGAAAAAATTATTCTAAATTTGTGCCAAGTTTCATCAAAATCTGAGCGTCGCACTTGGGGTACTTCCCCTGTTGATCCAAAAAACAATATCCCCGCCTAAACCTCAAGCCAAAAACAGTAAAACTCTTACTCTGTCCGCTCATATCATACGCTGTGAACGCAATGTTGGCGGCATTGAACTTTTCCACGTTGAAGCCGACGGTCGGAGTCACGGCGCTCAGCTGGTTGTCCGGCGGCTTCAGCTGATTCAAAATACTCGTTTTGCCGCTGTTGTCGAGGCCCAGCACCAACACCTCGCAGGGGTGTTGATGAGGGGCGAAGAATTTGGCGATCGTCGAGAATAAACCCATATTTAAGAAGTTTAAAAAGCCGCGGGGAAAGCCGATTTCCAACTTTAAGAAGACAATTCCTTCGACGGCCGCTGCGAATTTCCATGGAAACCTCCTTTTCAGTGCGGAAATTATTTTCGAAAATGCGGTTGTAATTGCTGTGAGGCCATAGAAAAGTCGTTTAAAATTAGAATTTTGCCGGAAATGATGTCTTATCAGTCTATCGGGAAAATAATGAGCACTCTGTCGGATCGAAAATCGAAATTTTTCTTTTTCAGCGACGCGATCGGCGCGGCGACATTATGCTCATTATTTTTCCGACAGACTAATTTAACCAAAATTTGTACCATGTTTTATCAGTCTGTCGGGAAAATAGTGGATGGTCGCAGCGAAATTTTTCACCTCGTCGAAAAAATGATGACGTCTCGCGCCAAATTTCCGGTTGCGGCCAGAGATTGCCATGGTCAAAATTTTGGATCCGGCTCTTAGCTCCCAGAGCCGGAGCCGAGGTCAAATTTGCAGCTCCGGCTCCCGTAAAAACACTAAAAAGGTCGCCGGCTCCGAATCCCGGCTCCCGTGCAAAAAAATTTTTTTTAAATACTTTCTAAAAAATAAAAGTTATCAGTGCCAGAGGTCACAAATCTAACGTTTCTGTAGCCAGGTCGTAAGCAACACATATTTCCCATTATTTTTCAAGAAATTTGGTTGAATAAGATCACAAAATTTTTACTTTTCTGAACGCTGAGATGCCTGGCTCCGACTTTGGGCTCGGGAGCCGGAGCCACGCCCAAAATTTCCAGCTCCGGCTCTGGCTCTTGGCTCGCAGCCGAAGACGCTCAGAGCCGGAGCCAAGAGCCGGCTCCGGAGCCGTGGCAATCTCTGGTTGCGGCTAGCCGTCGCGAAACGATGATAGGCGATTTCAAAGCGTGACAAATCCACATTATTTTCCCGACAGACTCATATTAGAATCTGAGCGTCAAACTTTGAGATCAGGCTCTGGTTTGGTACCAAAAAACTGAGTTGGACCTCCTCTTTGTACGACGAATCGCAGATGACAAAAAAACATTTTCTGTCGGGAAAATAACGAGCACAATATCGGTGCGCCGATCGTGTCATTGAAATGAAAAAAAAATGATTTTTCCGTGACACAATTCATTTTCTCGGCGGCGATGCGATTTTCGATGCGACAGAGTGCTCATTATTTTCCCGACAAACTGATACGCAGGGTTTAGTACTACTAGTATCAGATAGAACTAATTAGTACTAGAGGAAAAGTTAACATGATTTTCGAGACCAGCATTAGAAAAATTTCAAAAAGTTACTTTTTAACACTACTACTTAAGGAAAACTAGTAAAGTTCAGAAAATGAACATGATTTTCGAAATCAGCACCCTCGAAAACCTTGAAATCGAGTATTTATGAAAAAAAGTCACAAATTACTACTTTACAGTACTTCTTAAGGAAAAAAGTAAGAATAAAAAAAATGAATGTCATTTACGAAATATGCACCCTCGATTATCCTAACTTCGACATTTGCATCGAAGAAAAATAATAATTTTTGGTTTCCCCAATCGTACTTTTCCCCAACCGTCTTTTTCCCCAATCGTCCAACTCCGCTCTCCTTTTACTTTGATTTTCAATATTTATTCAAAATCAAAGGGAAGAAAGATTTTGGCAGGAAATCCGACAGATCGCCGGCATTGACGATGCATTTATACCACTTAGACATGTTGAGGAACAATCATTTTTCGACCAAAAAGATCAAGAAGGCACGAATTCGCAAATGGAAATAAAATTAACAACAAATAGAGGAATGCGTTTGCAAGAGATTTAGGACACATTTTACGGCTTTTTCTACCACGTTTTTTCTCCATGCGTCGGCGGTAAAAAGTCTACGCACTTTATGAAAAAACGTAGATAAAACAAGATAAAATTAGAATTCAAGAGAGTTGATAAAATTTTCAAGGCCTAAACTCAATCCTTCTTCTCCGTGGGCACCACCAACAGTAATTTTTGCGCAAAAACTGTCGCTTCGTCCATGATGTTGTCAATGAATGGGACTTTTCTTCGGTACTGAACGAAAATCAAGTAGACGGGGAGTCCGGTCAGCATGATTCCGATTCCAATCGCCGTGTCCATGGGCGCTTGGATGATGGGGAAGACGATCAGGAAAACACAGCCCAGCAGGAAGATGATCGGCCATGCCAGGCCCACCTGAAGAGGTCGAGGATAGTCCTTGGGGGGCTTGGTGTATCTGGAATGTGGATGATATATAGGATATATAATGTATTTGTATTTTCATAAAGTGCATGGACATTTTGCAGCGGCCCGCACCGTGCACAAAAAGTCTCCATTTGCACCGGAGTTTTGCACTGTGCGAAAAAAGCAAAAATTTGCGATTTTTTGCACTGTGCGTTTCACTTTTCTTCTTTTCTTTTGATTTTCGCACTGTGCAAAGAAATTGATCTTTGCACTGTGCAAACCGGTTTTCTTGAGGTTTGCACTGTGCGAAAAAAAGCAAAAATTTGTGATTTTTTGCACTGTGCATTTCACTCTTTTTGTTTTTTTCTGATTTTTGCACTGTGCATTTGAAGTGTCGCTGCGACATAAGCTTTTTTTCAACTGCGCCGTCGCAGATTTGCTGAATAATTTTGCACAGTGCAAGCGGCTTTTTTGAGGTTTGCACAGTGCGAAAAGCGAAAAATGCACTGTGCATTGGCGACAAGCGTGGGAAAAAGTTGAAAATGCACTGTGCAAAAAAGAACAAATGTCCATGCACTTTATGAAAAAATACTACTCGCGTCATAAGTCCATCGGTCTGTCGGGAAAATAATGAGCGCTCTGTCGAATCGAAAATCGGCACCGAGAAAATAAATTGAGTCTTGACTTTAGCGACTCGATCGACGCAGCGACATTGTGCTCATTGTTTTCAGATGCAAAACAAGTCTATTGCTCACCTCAAATAAAGCAATCCGCAAGTAGCGATCGCGATGGCCAGCCAGTTCACGATTTGCACGTAGTTGATCAACGTGTAAATGTTGTCGCTCAACAGTAAATAAAACAGCGACAACAGGCATGTGAACAGCACGGCTGGGACCGGCGTTTTCCACTGAACATTCAGATAGCTGAGCACTCGGGGCATGTGCTCGTTTCGGCCGGCGACGAAGAAAAGTCGCGACGAAGTCAACATGATTCCATTCACGGTGCCGAAACAACTTCCCGCCACCAGAATCGGCATGATAATCCCCATCGGGCCGTAGTATTTGTTGGCAAAAGTCACAGCGATCGCTTTGCTTTCGAGCAGCTCGTCCGGCGAGGTGCCGGCGTAGAAGGCGAGATTGGCGAGCAAGTAGATCACCGTGACTGTGATCATTGAAATGAAAATGGCCAGAGGCAAATTGCGCGTGGGATTGATGAGCTCTTCGGTGATGAAGTTGAGGTAGTTCCAGCCGTTGTAGGCCCAGAGACCCGAGTAAAAGGCAAGCGCAACTTGGCCGGCACCAATGTTGGGCAGCTCAAACATCCCTTCGAAGGAGTCGAGGTAGGCTGGAAATAGTTTTTTTATAATCATTTTAATAATAAAATGTACAAAAATTGTTGATTTTGATGAGAAATAACTTTTTTGTGACAGCAAATTGAGTGGGATTTCTTTTACATGAAAAAACATTACCATAAAGAAAAATAAAGAAAAATCTTTACTTTTCAGTCTGTCGGGAAAATAATGAGCACTCTGTCGCATCGAAAATCGCATCGTCGCCGAGAAAGTGAATTGTCTTCGCGGCAAAGTCAAATTGTTTTTCATTTTATCGGCGCAACCGACATTGTGCTCATTATTTTCCCGACAGACTGATAAAAATACGGAGAATCTATGCTTTTTAGAAGCCACTGACCAGAAGCTTTTTAGAAGCCACTGACCAAGTAATGGCCCCAAAGCGCGACGCTCAGATTTTCCTCAAATTTTGCCCACATATTGTGCCAAGGCCACAGATAAATCCCGGAAGATTTTAGCCTGTATTTTACAGGGAGAGCCGAGATCTTCAACGCCTTGATGTTAGGAATAAACATGATGCTTTACAGCGCAAAATTTTTGAAAGAAGTGTCGCAAAAAAGTGTCAAGTATTTGCCAACTTTCGGCCAAAAAATATTGGTCGCTTATGAAAAGAAGGGGCTAGAAGTCTCGTATGCCTCCAAACAATTTATCTAAATTGTGGTTAGTTTCATCAAAATCTGAACGTTGCACTTTGAGCATTTCCCATATTTTTATCAGTCTGTCGGGAAAATAATGAGCACGCTGTCGATGCGCCAATCACGTCGCTGGAGTGAAAAGCAATTTGATTTTGCCGCAACGCAATTCATTTTCTCGGCGGCGTTGCGATTCTTTCTATGCCACAGAATGCTCGTTATTTTCCCGACAGACTGATAACTCTATTCTTCCCTTGCGATTTGTTTTACAGAGGTTTGACAGCATATATTATTATATATGTATATATATATACATATATATATATATACATATATATATATATATATATAAAATTATAACTTACGATCTCCAATCAACATGAGCACAAGCCCAGTGGCAATTATCAAAATCAACGCCGCCAACTTGGTCATCGTGAACAGGTTCTGCACATGCGTCACAAACTTCACACTGACGCAATTGATCATGCACAGCAGCAGGATGACCGAAGCGGCCAAGAACTGCGGCGCCAAAAAGGGCAGCGGACAGTGGGGATATAGCGGCTGCAGGATGTAGGTGGCGAATGTCATCGCGACCGCAGTGATAGTGCACGGCCGCACAATGATGCACTCAATCCACATACGAATAAAGCCCATCAGAGGCCCGAACGCCTCCAAAACATAGGCATAATCGCCGCCCGAGGAGCGGATAAAAGTCCCCAGCTCGGCGTAGCAGTAGGCGCCAATCGCCGAGAACAGGCCGCACACCACCCAGATCACCATCGACCAACCGACTGATTGAATATCTGGAAAATTTGTGTATGTTACTCTGCTTGTTCAAAAAAAAGTTTGTCGGGAAAATAATGAGGACAATGTCGCTGCGCGGATCGCATCGCCGAAATGAAAAGAAATTTGATTTTTTCGCGACACAATTCATTTTCTCAGCGGCGATGCAATTTTCCCTGCGACAGAGTGCTCATTATTTTCCCGACAGACTGATAAAAGTCCATTGACAATTTATTGCACACGCACAGTGAGTGCATTTTTGCTTTTTTTCGCAGTGTGCGGGATCTTCAAACATTTTGCACTGTGCATTTTCACCGATTGCGCAAACTCGCTTCAGAAACGTCGCAGCGACTCATTGTCGGCTGAAAATACTTTTCGTCGCAGCGATATTTTGGTTGCGCAGTGCGAAAATTTTTAAAAAATTGAATGCACCGTGCGAAAATTTAAAAAAATTGAATGCACAGTGCAAAGTGCGGTTTTTTGAAGGGTGCGGCCCCGCGATAAAAAGTCCTTAAATCTTGAAAAAATGCATAGTTTTTTTTCGTCTTTTATCGCGATTCGCGAACGCACCGTGCATTTTGCTCTTTCGCACAGTGCAAACTAGACATGGCTAGTGGGCCGGGCCGGCCCGGCCTCGGCCCCCAATGACTAAAAGCCAAAACGAAAATTAGGGTTGCCAACAAAAATAGAAAGGCAGAGCCAAGAACCGATTGGGTTTTTTGTACTATAGGCAATGGTTGGTAATTTTTTTTCAAAAATTTATTGTCGATTGTTATAACAAAAAAATGGGGGCTAAGGTAGTACAACCCGTCCAGTTCAGCCCCCCTGGACCCAGCATAAACCCCCTCATCCAATCTGAAGCTCCTACTCGGGATTGGGTTCTCTCGGCTACGATCGTCGTTGCCTGAACCACAAGAACGAATTTGGACGGTAACTGGGGGTTTGAGCTAAAACGCCGGGGGTCGTTTTACCCTAATTTGCATTTTTTGTATTATTCTAAATTTTTCATTATGGGGGTGTAAAATGGACAAAACAGTGGGGGTTTGAGCTATCTTTCCTGGGGGGCTGAACTACCAAAGCCCCAAAAAAATGTGTTATATCTCGTAACGAATGCATTGTTCATATTTACAGTTCGGCCCCCGGTCGGCCCCCGGCCCGGCCCGGCCCCTGGGGGCCGGGCCGGGCCGAGAAAATTTGAAGGGGGCCGGGGCCGGGCCGACCTCTTCCGCCCCCCGGGCCGGGCCGCGATTTTCGGCCCGGCCCGGCCCCCCAGCCATGTCTAGTGCAAACCGCTTTTTCGAGCTTGCACTGTGCGAAGGAGCTTCGGCGAAACCGTGATGACGCAGTTGGAAAAAAAGCCTACGTAGCGCCGCTATTTTCGAAAAATTCAGGAAATCAGTCTGTCGGGAAAATAATGAGCACTGAATTGAAAAGCAATTTGATTTTTCCGTGACACAATTCTTTTTTCTGTTTTTTTTTTATTTTCTCGGCGGCGCTGCGATTTTCGATGCGACAGAGTGCTCATTAATTTCCCGACAGACTGATAGTGGATTTTTGTCGGCATAAACCTGATTTTAGGGAATTTTGATCGCACAATTTTATTTTAGTTTGTCGGGAAAATAATGTGGATTTGTCGTGGCAAAATTTTTCGTTGCAAACTTGAATCTTTCCGCTGCAAGTCACCAGCCACGGTTAGACATCAAAAAGCGATGATGGGCAATTCTTCCAAGGTGCAAAAAATCCACATTATTTTCCCGACAGACTGATAAAATTGGGATTTTTTGCAGGGAAATGATGACAAAATTAAGTTCGCTTACTTTCATGCACTCCCTTCGGTGAGATGAAGATCCCAGAGCCAATAATACAGCCAACAATCACCATAACACCACCGAACAAGGTGATGGACGGCGCTAGCGCCATTCCACGGTCTTCCTCTTCCTGCAAAAACGAGATTACTTCATTTTGAAGACCCAGATAACATATGTATATCTTGAAAAAAAAGAATTTTACATTCCACTTACATCTTTGTCATCTTTGGTGGGGTTGTCGTAGATGGGCTTCTCCTGCTCGTTGTCCAGCCGCAGCGACATGTTTTGCGACCCGATTCCACGGAATGTATACGAGAGATTGGAGCGCTGCGACTGCTCTCCGATTTGCAGGCGTTTTTTTCGGCTTCGCGATAAACAATATCCCTGGAAAAGTACAAGTATAGAGCAAAGGTCGATTTTATTAGGGAAAATAAAAAATAATCAAAAATCGCGACAAAAAGATCTCTTACAGGGCTGCAATAGGACCTACAGCGAAGTGCGACACTCGGATTTCTATGAAATTTGGCCGACCAGTCTGTCGGGAAAATAATGTGGAATTGTCGCAGAAAAATTTGACGACATGTTGGAGTCACGAATCAAATCTCCTAGCCGTCGCAAAGTGATGATTTGCGATTTTAAGGCTCGACAAATCCACATTATTTTCCCGACAAACTGAAAGTCATGGTTTTTTTGGGAAAATACGAAAAAATGCAGGTAATTTTTGTTCAAGACATATTACGAGATTGGCTCTAATCATGCGGACACAGCCAAGATTTTTAGGTCAAATGGGAGTTTCCTGCGGCTTCGCGCCGTGCACTAGGGCCCCCAAATTCTGTCGCTCTACAGCGCTCTCCAAAGAAACAGCCTGGCTATCCGTCGCAAGGCGATGATAGGCGATTCCAAGGGGCGACAAATCCACATTATTTTCCCGACATACTGAAAATGAGCACGCTGCGACAGTCGCGTCTTTGAAGTAAAACAAAATTTGGCCGCGACACAATTCATTTTCTCGGCGACAATCCGATTTTCGATGCGACAGAGTGCTCATTATTTTCCCGACGGACTGATATTTGAACTTTTTTATCTGAATTTTCTCCCAGTGTCGTCTAGGGCCCCAAAGCATGATGTTTTTTTTTCATCAAAAAGCACACCAAATTATCGGTCTGTCGGGAAAATAACGGCGGATCGTCGCATCAAAATGTCTCGCCCCGCCGCTAATCGCGCACCAAATCCCAAGCCGCGGCTTGCAGTCGCAAAGCGATGATGGGCGATTCCGAGGCGCGACGAATCCACATTATTTTTCCGACACACTGATAATAATCAAGTTGCATCAGTCACGCGATTTTGCTTCGCAAAAAAGTCTATGCACTTTTTAAAAAAAAGTACTATCAGTCTGTCGGGAAAATAATGAGCATAATATCGCTGCGCCAATCGCGTCGCTAAAGTGAAAAGCAATTTGATTTTGCCGCGACACAATTTATTTTCTCAGCGGCGATGTGATTTTCGCTGCGACAGAATGCTCATTATTTTCCCGACAGACTGATATTATGGATTAATATTAACAAAAACCCCAAAGTAAAAAAAATCACCAACTCAAACATTATAAATCAAGCTTTGATTCTCGCCCCAAAAAACAAAATTCAGTGGAATTTCTGGCCTAAAAAACTCCGATCACTTTTTGGTTCTCTTTTTTATTTCCAATCTTTTTCGATTTTTTCGCTTTTTTCGAACGTTCTTTCTGCAAAAAATAGAGAGAAAACCGCTCGGATTGGACTTTTTTATCTGGCCACTGCCTGGAAATGGCCAGATAATAAAAGTCCAAGACTTGTTTAATAAATTTTCATCAAAATTAGAGAGAAAGAAGATGAGAAAAGGAAAAATTTATTTCAAAATTGCTTAAAAACGGGGGAAATTTGAGAAAAAACCCCTAAAAAAATCTCATTTTCCCTTTCAAAAAGCCATCAATTGGAGTTTATTATCTGGCCATTGGCTGGAAATGGCCGAATGATAAAAGTTCAAGGCTTGTTTAATAAACTACAGTCAAAATTAGTGCGAAATAAAGGGCGAAAAGGCAAAATTTCAACCGAAAATCGCTTAAAAATGAAAAATTTTAAAAAAAATCCCTCAAAAATCCTATTTTCCCCCTTCCAAAGGCTGCAAAATAAACTTCAAGACTTGTTTAATAAATTACAGTCAAAACGAGAGCAAAATAAATGTCGAAAAGGCAAAATTTGAACCAAAAATCGCTTAAAATGACAAATAAAAAAAAAAAAAAATCCCATTTCCCCCAATCCAAAGGCTGGAAAAGAACCTTCAAGGCTTTTTTTAATAAATTTCCTTCAATAAAAAAGCTAGTTAAGGCCAAAAAGGCAAAAATTTCAACCAAAAATCCTTAAAAACTCCGAAATTTTCAAAAACCCCCTCAAAAAATCCCATTTCCCCCAAAAAACAAAGATTTTCGCGCTTGTCTCGGCTCTCCCCCCCCCCCCCCAATTTATGTGCAATATGGCACATCTGCATTGAATGGAAAATCCGGAAATGTGCGAAAATCCCGGCTCGCGAGAGCATAAATCAGTTAAATCCGGCTTTCATTACAGGCGCCCCACGAATTTGGCCATAATTTTTGTCTTGGGAAAATATTGCGCAATAATCCTATTAGCGATGGTTCGACGAGGCCGAGAGTTGAACCGTCTCTACTAGTGGAGGTAAGGAGGCTTAAAAACCCTCTTAAATCTCTCAGATTTTCTGTTGAAAGTGCTAAAACCCTAAGGGGACACTCAAAAATTTCCCGTAAAATGGGCCGTTCCATACGTTCCGAACGAATTTTTGCCCAATTTTTGGCCTAATGTGGGAGAAGAGTATTGGTTTTCAGGGCGTTTCACGCCCGAATCTCCTTGAAAAGCCCTGAAAAAATCCTAAAAATAATTGAAAAACTTGGACGCTTTTTGCGGCCTTCTTTTTTGGATATTTCGGAAAAAGAATTATTGGGATGTGTTTTTGACGGGGGACGGGGGTCGAGAACCAACGAAAAAGCACTTTAAACTTCATGATTAACGCAATTCCGGGGCTGCGAAAGCCCGAAACTATGATTAAATTCGATTTTAAAGCGAAAAAATCTCGAAAAACCTGGGAAATCGGCGAAAATACGATAGAAAATACGATATAAAGGCCGTAAAAGCTGTTAAAAGCTTTCAAAAAACTTTTGACTATTAACTGAGCACCTCAACTAGTCCTGAGTACCGCCGCCCTCATCGATGACGTAATCGGAAGCTCGCCGAAAACAGCGATTCATTTCATACCGCCGTCCATTACGCGCCTTCCCCGCGAAATAGCGCCGCAATTGCGGAGACGGGCCGCCTCGAAAGCAAGGCGGTTTTGTGACCATGAAACTGAATGAGGAAAGGACATAGGGGAAGCGAGGATGCCGGCCCTCTCCTTTTCTGTTTAGTCCCCTCGCGCAGCGCGATTTTTTGAGGACTTGTAATTAAACAGAAAATTCGAATATTTTGCTGTCTTCGAACAGGACCGTGGGGAATTCGCGGCGGCCATCGCGAGGTCATGATGAGGATTTGAAGCGACTTTTGACCGAAATTGGGCCGCACGCCAAATTAGGGAGCAGTTGGTGGGATAATTTGGGAATAAAAGTTCTATAAAACAAAACCTGTCTATAACGAACAATCAGTTCAGAGGTAGTAACATCCAATTTTTGGGCTACGATAAACCTCTTTAAAGCAACGTATTTCTATAACGAATACTTTTTTGGCCCTTGCGATTTGTTGCACAGAGGTTTGAAACTTTTAGCCGTCCCAAAAGCCAATTTGAGAACAAAATGAGCCTTTGTACAAGAAATCAATTCTTCAGTCTGTCAGGAAAATAATGTGGATTTGTCGCAGAAAAATACCTCGCCTCGTCGCAGTCGCAAACTAAATCTCCAGCCGCGGCTAGCCGTCGCAAAGCAATGATGGGGGGATCCAAGACGCGACAAATCCACATTATTTTCCCGACGGACTTATATAACGCATCAATTTTTTTGGTTCCTTGCGTTTTTTTTTGTACAGAAATTTGACTGTAATTCAATACGGCATATATACGCTTAATTTAATCTCTGTACAACGAATCACAAGGGGCAAACGAAAAATCATTTGTTATAGAAAGTTTTCGTTGTACAGATTTAAGTTTTGCCCTAAAATTGAACTTGGAACCTCCGGATTTGTTCGTTATAGAGAGGTTTTGTTTTACGGGAGTTTTTTGTATAGAGATCTCACAGCAAGTTTGCGATTTAAACTCCAATAGAGACTCCGTATAGTTAACTCCTTTTGACAAACAGAACCTGTCGATAACGAGCAGTTTCAGAGCTCCCAAGACTCAATTTTATCAGTCTGTCGGGAAAATAATGAGCACTCTGTCGCATCGAAAATCGCATCGCCGCCGAGAAAATGAATTGTGTCGCGGCAAAATCAAATTGCTTTTCACTTCAGCAACACAATCGCCGCTGCGACAAAGTGCTCATTATTTTCCCGACAGACCGATAGTTTTTGGCCGCCATACAACAAAACCTTTCTATAACAAAAATTTTTTATTCTCTGTCGCCTTGCGGTTCGCTCTACAGTGGCTTGACAGTAGCTTCTCTTCTCCGGCTTTAGACACAACATCATCATAAATTCGAATGCAACAAAAAACATTACAACAGCCGCGGCCAGAAACACTCCGGGTCGTGCGAATCCCGGAAAATTACACATCAAACAGTGGAGAGAACGGAGCGAAAAAAATGATTAATGATAGGAAATGAAAGGTGGCGGACAACGCACAAGATATCTCGCCGTCGGATCGACGGATATTCTGATGAGAGGGCCCTGTTCTATCAAGATTAACGATGTGTGGGCAGGGCATGATCTAAGCGCCAGATTGGAGGTCACTTTTTGGCTCGCTGCGAGGGGAGAAGACGAAATTATTGGGCTCGCTGGAGGATGCGATGCGACAAGAACATCGCAAAAACTGCTGTAAACAACGGTCCGATAATTCTAATTTGACCGTTGCAGTGAAACTTTTTACAACAAATCCCCAGAAAACGAAAGAAAAGCTTGGCTTTTCTATAACGAACAACTTTTTTTCAGTTTGTCGGGAAAATAATAAGCACTCTGTCGCATCAAAAATCGCATTGCCGCAGAGAAAATGAATTGTGTCGCGGCAAAATCAAATTTCCGAATGGCGCAGCGACAGAGCGCTCATTTTCAGTCTGTCGGGAAAATAATGTGGATTTGTCGCCCTTTGGAATCGCCTATCATCGCCTAGCGACGGATAGTCGCGGCTGGAAGTTTGCTGCGCTTCTGCGACAAGGTGAGATATTTTTCTGCGACAAATCCACATTATTTTTCCGACAGATTCGGGTCGTCGAGAAATCGAGAAATGAGTTGTGTCGCGGCAAAATCAAACTTCTTTTCACTTCAGCGGCGCGATTGGCACAACGACATTGCGCTCATTATTTTCCCGACAGAATGATAGTGTCAGCAACTAAAACGGAAGCATTTCTATAACTAACAACTTTAAGGGCCCCAAGAGCTAATTCTAGGAGCGCCGATTAGCAATGTTTTTTCAGTTAATAGAGGAAAACTAAGAACAGAATAGACCTCGGATTGTTACAGAAAAAGGTACTTCCAGAGGTCTTACTGCATTTTGGCACAGTGAAACCTCTGCAAAACGAACTCGGGTACAACAAAATCTACGTATGATAAGCAATTTTGAACAACGAACAATTATAAAGCTCCCAAGAGCCAATTCTAGGCCAAACTGAACCTCCATACAACGAACCCTTTCTATAACAAATAACCTTTTGTCTCACTTCGATTTGTTGTACAGAGGCTCCACTCTATGTAATATTGAATTACAGTCAAATCTCTATATCAAATCGCATGTAATTAAAAAAAATGTTCGTTATATAAAGGTTTCATTCTACCGAGACTTATTTTCTCCTAGAATTGGCTCTTGTGACCTCAGAAAATGTTCGTTATAGACAGTCTTCGCTCTAAAAACCCGCATATTGCAAACAAAATCGCCACTAAATGACCTCAAACAAGACTAACATCGCTTTTTTTGTGGAATAAGTTGCGTTTCCCCTATGTAAACACAAATTTTAATCCGAAATCATTAGAGCGCGCACCATCCTCAATTTGTCGGCTTTGTTAGAACAGTTGCAGGGGGCTTTATTTCAATTAGAAAATCAGCTCCGACGCTTTTAAACGCCCTCAAAAATAGTAATTATAACTATTGTTATTGAGCGCTAAACCTAAAATTATCATTTTACCAAAATTTGATAACTCGAAAAACTTCTTTTCCTAAGCCTGTTTGATTGTTGGAAAGGCGCCATATTGACGCCTGAAATTTCTTTGAAACGGTCCAGTTAAAAGTCGTTTTAGAGGCCGGAAACTCTTGATCAATTGATAAGAGCGGGTGCTTGGGTAATATTGACAAAAACACACGGTAAAAAATCGTAAAATTTAAGAGACGGCTAACTGCACAAATGTCTAGGTACGCTACGACCTTCCATAACAAACACATTTTTTCGGCCCTCTGCAAATCGTTGTACAGAGGTCGCAATTGTATAACGCGCGAAACGGATGATTCCCCAGTAAAAGTGGATAAACCGGGTACTTTAAAAAAAAGTATAGTCGAAATAATGGGCTCGCGAATAATTCGCGCCCTCCAAAAATCACGGACATCCCACTGAGATCGGGCTGCCAAAAATGACATTTGACGGGCGAAAGGTAACGGATGAGTGCTTTAATTTATGCAAAAAAGATGGAAGATTCGGATATTTGAAAATTTCGAAAAAATAAAATAAACTGGTCAACCGAATTCGCCACAAATACTAACGTATATAGAGATTTAGAAGCACTTCTATGATGGTTCACGAGGAAAACATGTCAAAAACATAAACGGAAATAACTGACGGATTCAAGTAGCTCAAATCTCTGAAATCCAAGAGCTGCCAAAAACACAAACCCAGCGTCATTTTCGCAAAAATGCCTATAAAAAATCTCCCAGATTCCTTTTATTACATTGGATTCAAATTAAAAGAGGCATTATATTTGCTTGACCCGAAAACAAAACGGAACAGGCAGGTGTCTAATAACAGGACCCACTATTTTCAACACCGCTTACCTTTCTTTACTGCTTGTGGGAAAATCGAATACGACGCGATTAAATTAAATGGCTAAAAAGCCAATTACCTTAAAACGGTACCTGGATGGTCGTATCTTTGTAAGCAACCAATGAAAAACTTGAAGAGATCAATTTATTCATATTAAATACGGATAAGGAACGCAAAAATACCATGACTGCCTCGAAAAGTCATCGGGAATTTGCATAGTGATCCCGAAAAAGGCTAATCCCCGCAATTCCGGGCAAGATGAAAAGACAAAAAGCGATCATTTACAGGTCAGAGTCAAGACAAGAGCGCACTCTAAATAAACCACGATTAAAACGTTTGTCGGCACTTGATGCGAAGAGAAGGAAGTACAGGTGAACCTCTGTACATTGATACCTGTCTATAACGAACAATTCCAGGGGTTCCAAGAGCTAATTCCAGGCCAAGACGAACGTCCCTACAATGAAACCTTTCTATGACAATTTTTTCTATTTCTTTTCGACTGTTTGTACAGTTATGGTTAATGTCGTAAAGGCCCATCTTGTCCTAGAATTTATCCTTAGGGCCTCTGAAATCGTTCGTTATAGACAGGGTCCATTTTTAGAAAGCTGATCGCTGACTTATTGTCTCTGAAACGGAGCTGCTTGCAATGACAGAAAATATTGGCATTTCGTTGCAACATTATTTTTTCTGCGTTCTTTTTTAAAATTGATTGGATCTTTAACCTTTCAACTTTCAAACACTTTTTCAACGGGTATTTTATTTTCTATTTTTTGGTTTTTACTGGTAAGTGTAACTATGATGTATTTTAGAAATTTTTAGGTACTTTTTCACTTTTTCATCATGGAAATGCTAAAATTTGGTCCATTAGTATGTAACAAATCAGAAAGCACAGTCGGGTTAATAACTCCACAATGGTTCTTCTCGAAGGACGATCTTCTACGATCGCCGAGTATACAAGGAGGGATTTCGTACGAAAAGGAGCAACATTTACTACGACAGGCAGCAGCTTTCGTCCGGGTTCTGGCAGAAAGAATGAACGACATTCCAAACGCCACCAAATTGTAGGTACTTGTTCATTAATTGTCATCAATTTGCTGCCATTGGTTTAAAATCATCATTTCAGAACCTCATTGCCCATATCAGTCGCAATAATTCAAACACGGAGATTCTTTTTGATAAATCGCCTCACAGAGTTTGACCCCAGGGTAATTTTTGATTATTTTTTGTCTTTCTTTCTTAGGTGATACAAATTTCTTACAGAAATATAGGACTGCGTTTTAGGATGTAGTCACGGCAGCAGCCTTCCTGGCCTCAAAGTCCGAAGAATGCCCACGCAGGTTACAAGACTTTGTCCTTTGCTATTACCGGCTCAAAGTGGAGATTGACTGCCCAAAAGAAGACTGGGATCGAAATTCGCGGATCGACAAGAAGTGCTACGAGCAAATCGCCGCATACATTGTATGGATTGAAAACTTGATTCTGCAGACCATCGGTTTCGACCTGAAAGTGGACGTACCTCATCCTTTTGTCCTCACAATGTGCAAGAAATTCTTCCCTAACGAGAAAGCACCTGCGGAAATAGGCTACTGGCTAGCAACTGATAGCCTGCATATGACTGATTGGTCAGTGCGATATAAGCCAGAGACGGTAGCTTGCATCGTCCTGTTTCTGATGATGCTATGGAAGGATGTGGATATCCCGAATGTTGAAGTGGACATCAATGGGCATAGACAAAGGGTACCTTTCTTCGAAGCGCGTTGTGAGCTCAGCTATGACGACATGTTAAGTAAGTTGCGGTCACCGAAGCTTCTCCGTTTTTTAAGAGTATTAAACCAATATTATTCATTTTTCAGATATTCTTCACGAATACACCGAAATATGGAAGGACAACCAAGCGAACCGCTTGCTAGCAGTTGAAAAATTCCGTGACACAGAAATCCGTTCGAGAAAATTTGAGTCGCCGTCCTCACAAAGTGATAGGGAGCCGGGTGAAATATGATATCGTATCATAAATAATTTATTTCATTCCATTTGCAACGAGTAAAATCAAAGTTCTAATGTACATTGTTGTGTCATGTTGCCGTATACAAAAAATACACAATATACGCTAAACAAGCGTCTAGAATTAAAAAATACGACCAGAACTTCGGATCGTCGAATGGGAAACTTGGGATACGGATGGAGAAAGAGGTTTCCATCGGTTGTAATGATGGTAAATCATGTGACGTTGTGTCCATACTCGGAAAATGCTCATGAACTCCATTTTCGGCACTCTCTTCGATGGAATAGCAATCTGGATACCTGCTTCGCGGTTTTCGGTCGGCTCTCGCGTAGCAATCGTAATGAAATTTCACCCGATCTTCCGGCGCTTCAGAATAAATGTCTGGCTCGCTGGAAGAACCTGCTAGATCGGGAGGGGAACGATAACGAGCCGCAAGAATCTCGATTTTGTATTTCCGTGGGTTGTGAATCGGGGCTATAAATCGAATCATTGTTGTGGAATTAATACCTACCTAGAGCTCTTACGGTGACTGTAGTCCGTTCGTTTGGTTCTAGAGTTCCCTTTTCGGGTTCAATCTTCAAATGTCGCCGAGAGTTTGCTCCGACCGTGAAGTAGACATACCATGCGGACATGCTCTGCAAGATCAGATTCACCGCTCCTCCGTCCGGATCTTCAGGATCATAGGATATTGTAATCGATCTTTTTGGCGCCACAGCCATGAATTTACGATGTTGCCAGTCGATGTTTGTGGATAAAATGGAAGTGTCGTCGGCTTTTGTTGTGTTCTGGCTGTAATCGGCCTCGAATTTGACTAGCTAAAAATGAACGTTTCAACGTTTTCCGGTGATTGAAATCAACTTCTTACTCTTTTTTTCTCGTTGTTTTCATCTCTTGGCGTAACCGCTTCTCGTTTACCGTTTGACCTTCGAGTCTCCACCTCCTCAATCAAGGAGTTTAGCGGGCTTTCGTCGCTAACCGATTCGTCATCAACACTATCCAGAGAGTTGGACAAATTATGGCCAAATCTGCGCGCCCGCACCATCGGAGATCCCGTGGATCTAGCCAAATCGCTCATAGTAAAGCGGAACTCGTCCTGTGGGGAAAACGTAAAGTTGGTTTTTTGCAGCTATGACTTACATGTCCTCCCATAAACTTGGGAATATATCGCAGCGGGATATACGTCCCAACCGTTCGTCCAGCAGTCTGAACCGTGTTTCCGGCCATCTCGCTGTCAACAGCCTCAATATACTGCTTGATTACTCTCCAGTTCGCACACAACCGCAACGGAACATCATGAGCATATATGCGGCGGCAACATCCAGGAAAATAATAACGAATGCAGTGGAATACAAATTTGATAAAATTTAGGTCCTGTAAAAGTAAAACAATTTTTGTAATAGTCATCATTTTTGGACAGTCGCAAAAAGCAAAGGAGTAAGAAAAGTACCATAGTCTGGGCCGTAGCTGTGCTAAAGTTCATAAATATTGAGATTGGTTGATTCTCTGTGTCCACGCAATGCCGTTCTAGCCAAAATACCAAGAGACGTTGGTTCAGCTTGTCGTTTCCGTCGTTCTTATCGAAGTTTATCCATACTAAATTTCAAAACGTAATTAAAACTGCTGTGTAACCTAGAGAATCGTAGAGCTAAACACTGATACGTTATAGGAAGGTTTCGTTGTATGGAGGTTCATTTTAACCGAAATTGTTATAAAGGACTTAAAAATCGTACGATAAGGGTAGGGTTCGTTGTACAGAGATTCCACTGTATATCGATATGATATGAAAATCAAGACAACCTACACAGTCGATTTCCATCGTTATCGTTCCCATGAAAATACACAAAATTATTCTCCAACGCTGTTTTCAGCTCCAAAAGTCCAATTGCTAAAAAAATTTAGAACATTTTTGCTAAAAAATTAGAGCTTCTTAGCTAACAAATCAGAATAATTCAAGCCTTACAATGAACTCCAAACCCCTGTCTCCACTTGAGACTTTCAAAAAATACAGCCGATGCCACATCGAGGTCATAATTCCTGGACTGTAGGAACGACAATAGCCACCAATCACAAGTCTCGGCCCTTCGAATATCTGCCTGATGGAACTTGGAGTAATTTGTGTGCTAAAAACGATAAATGACCACCTTAATCGGCATGAAAAATCAAATCTTAAAAAAACGTTAATACTAAATTGTAAAGTAGTGATACTTACTCGTAAAATGCGAGCTCGCAGCTCCTGCAGAGCCTCTGCTTGTCGCATTCTGAGCTTTTGCGTCATTCTGAAGCAAATTTTTTACAATGGCTCGCATAAAAATTAATAGGTTGTAAAATAAACGATCGTATCGACCGCTCACAAAACAAAACCGATTTTCGAACACCCTGATGACTAAAATATTCATAAACCTTGCTCAAAACCCAAACCCTTTCTAAAAATATCCCCCCAAGTGTCAGTGGGAAGCAATAGTCTGATCACTTTTTGCGTTTGCAAACGTCAAAATCCAAAAAAATTAGCGCTGCGGGGACAAGCTCGAGGACCGGGTCGATTTTTTTCTCGAAAGTCGAGTGGATTTGGCCAGGTAGTTGGACGGACGTGATGCAAAACATCCATCTCTTTTGTTTTCTTGGCCCATTAACCTGGAGGGAAATAATGAATGGATTTGCAGGGTTAAAGGTAAAATTTTGGGGATGGAATGGAAGAGGTTCACGGACGGATACGTACTCGTTCGTCCGTAAAGTCGCTGAGGTGATTTTTGGCGCTTGCATTGTCCAAAAAAAGTCAGGGTGAGGGCGAGACCGCAAAAAAGTCATGATTATCAGTCTGTCGGGAAAATAATGTGGATTCGTCGTGGCTTGAAATCGCTCAGCGTCGTTTTCGACAGCTAACCGTAGCTGGAGATTTAGCGCGCAACTGCTACATTGACGGATCCAGTGCCAAAAAATGTACCATTTTGCATATGGGAAGTATCAGAAAATGTAGCAGAATTCCTCCTCTTCCAACTAAAAAACTCCGTTTTGAAGGGCGCGCCCTTTCCCTCACAAAAAGGGGGCATTTGAAATCGGAGTTTTTTCACCTGGAGAGGGAGGCATTTTGCTACATTTTTTAATACTTCCCTGATGCAAAATGGCACGTTTTTTGCCATTCGATCAGGTCCGCGACCGTACGAGGCGAGAAATTTTGCTGCGGCATATCCACATTATTTTCCCGACAGAATGATACTCATGGCTTTTTTGGGCTCTCGCTCGCACGCTGACTTTTTTGGACATTCCAAGCGCTAAAAATCACTCCAGAGACTACAGATTTTATGGCAAAAATCGAGAAAAATAGATTGCCTGAGGCTTCATTGCACATATTTTCTAAAACCAAACCCCCAAAATCAATGACTTATCAGTCTGGGGCGTCAAAAACAACTCTTCAAACACAATTAACGGGCGATCATGGCACCTGGGTGGTGATCCTTGGCCCATTGACACCATTTCCTCGCAATTAAATGCCAACCGTCAGCTGTGTTTTCAACGCCACTCGTAAACAAAAATTTTTTTTTACAAAATCAAGATTATTATTTTCGAAGGGCCATTTCGGCGTTTGGTAATCAAAAATAAAAAGATTTCCCTGCAAAATCTTGATGTTATTTTGTTGGATAAAGGCGCCAGGAGGTCGTGATGACACACCTGACATCTCATGCCTTTGTGTTTTTCCCACGAACATTACGAATGGGATTGGCGTTTGAGAAGAGATAAAACACTGGAAATAACAAGGTGCTAACGACCGAAATGCGGATTTCAGCAGAGAGCAGTGTATTTTATACATATTTTTTATTGTTTTATATCTGAAATTCGCTGAAAATGAACCTCTGTGATTATGATAGATCTTCGTAGACGGTTGGCCAAATGCAATGGGTGAAATAGCTAGCCAAAGAGCTGGAATGGTCTACAAAGCTCATAAATTGTTAGGAAAAAGTTCGATTGGCAGAAAAAATCATCCAAAAAGTTAGCAAAGGTGCTGCATCGGCCTTTGACTAACTTTTAGGATGATTTAGCCACTAATCCAACTTTTTACTAGCTAGCAATTTGTGAGATTTGTAGACCATTCCAACTCGTTGGCTAGCGATTTCAGCTCTTAAATTGGCCAACCGTTTACGAAGATGTATCATAATCACAGAGACTCATTTTCAGCGACTTTCAGGTACAAAACAATAAAAAATATGTATAAAATATACTGCTCTTCAGTGAAATTGGAATTTCAGTTGTTAGCATCCTGTTATTTATAATGTTTTATCTTTCTCAGGTTTTTAGATAGAAAATTAAAACTTTTATCTACCTCTAGTCACATCAAAACTACCCTAAGCGCCTTGATGCAGCTTTTAAATACCCTATACATTGAGAAAAATACAACAAATCCACCTTTTTTCTCATGTATAATATAATTTATTCGAGAAACCCGCAAATTTTCCCATTTTTGTAAAAAAACAAGCTGATCACAGTTCAGAATTCAGATATTTACATATAAAACGGTCTATTTATGCCACGACTACTCCTCATCTTCTCTGGCTTGCATCAAAATATCCCGTTCAAAGTGTTCGCTGGTCATCTGCCCCAAAAGTCGATGGCAATTCGGGTTAAACACCGAATACGCGCTCAATTCACCTTCAGCACGAACCCCCAGATTCAAGAACATCAGAATGAACAAGGAGAGCATAAAGTAAACACATCCAAATTCCACTTTCGCCGCCAAAAGTTGCCCGATCAGCCAGAAGGACAAGGTCACAACCCAACATTGCAGCGGGTATTTGGCGTTGAAGTTTCGCCACAACCTCAAGGGAAGGATGTCGAGCACATCTATCGCCCAGAGTTGGAAGAAAAACATGTTTGACTTGGGATTCATTCGTTTCTCCCGCTCTTCCGCCAATTTCTGGGCCTCCTGGAAAATTTGATGGTCAAAAGGCCGAGAATGGAGTTTAAAATATTTATAATGCCTTTCTACAGCTTCTTCATGCTCTCTTTAAGCTTATGCAACTCATTTTCCTCCTCTAAATTCAAGAAAAATAAAAGAAAATGAGAAAACTCACTTCTGCCTCCTTTTCCCTCGCTAATTTCAATTTTTCCTCGTGTTTCCGTCGATATGCAGCCAAATCCCGTTGAACATTGCGCAGAGTCGTTGTTGACTGATCTTCTGACATCGATTTCGTTGGGAATTCCGAGAAAATCGAGCGAGAAAAAAGATTTTTCGCCAATTTTGATGGACAGTGGAAGAGTTGACACATAGTTTTGGTTTCGGGTCAAGTGTTCCTTTTTTGAGAAACTGCTCTGGTTTGTAAAATACGCCGGAATTAACGGATGTTTTTATGTTGGAAAAGATGTGTTGAAGTGTAATTTTTGAATATATTGTCGAGTTTTTTCTTATCGTAGTCGATTTTTGCCAAAGAATTTAAAATTTTGATTCTTGATCAAGCGATTTTTCAATTGCTTATTAAAAGATCAAAAAGTTGTAAAAATGATCTGCACTTTTAAAGAGCAGGATGTGAGGCGATTTTTTGCTGTGAAATATCATCGTTTCCGCCAAGTCTACTGTGTTTTCTGCCCGTTTCGAGAAGCGCCCGCTTCCTTTTCATCGATTGTCAAACTGATTAAACCGAAGGCGTCGTCGATCAGCATTACAACCAGAATTCCGCCGGGATCTCACGGTTCCGCCAGTCTAACTGGCACCATTTCTTCGGGCAGTGAGAAAAAAATTGTTGACGAAAAATCAAAAAAAAAACGTTCGCAGAACAGGTGTAATATGTTTGTTTGATCAGTTGAAGAGTAATGTAGAGATTTGGGGATGACTTGAGGATATATTGAACAAAAATATGGCAAATTTGCATATCATAAGGATTTGTTAAGAATTGCAAAAAAAATTTTTTAAGTGAAAACTTGAATTTTTTTAAATTTTACACTAAAATTTCAATGAAAATTGAAACAAGTTCAGATCAAACATTTTTTGAGGACCAAATTTTTAGCTTGCGCTTTACAAAAATAGACATTTTTTTATTTTTAGGTCCAAAATTTTCAAAATTCGAAAAAAATTTTTTCGGATTTTCAATTTGAAAATTTGAAATATGGATTCTCATAAAATCCACAACACTTGTACAAAAAATCAAATTTTTCCCCACGAAATTGACAGAGATATCGCAAAAAATTTTTTTTCTCTGACGTCTCTAACAATTTTCAAAATTTTGGAATTTCTTTTGCAAGTTTGTGCATGAAAATTTTCAGTCTTACTTCTATTATATAGGGCAATATTTCCACAAAAAATCAACTTTTTCCGTGCGAAATTCGCTGAGATATAGCTCAAAAAGTGTTTTTTCTCTGACCGTCTCTCATATTTTTCCGTGGTCTTTCACTTTGGTACAAATTTTTGCGTAAAAGTGGGTTTTTTTTTGTAAATAAAAATCTTCAGCTTCTCACATAGCCAGCAACAACAATATTTGCCCGCTGTAATGGTCTCTTGCTTACTGTAGACCTTCTTGAAAACGAAAGTTTCAAGTTTTTCGACCTTTTTCATCAAATTTCTGCCGAATTGATCATCATAAATCTCGAGTTCGTTTCCGCTGACGACATGTTTTCATATCTGTTGTGCAAGAGAAATGAAAAATGGACGCCAGATTTTTTTAGCGATGAATTTTGTGCAATTTTTGAGGTTTTGTGTTCAGCGGAAGGTGCTCAAAGTGCAATGTTCAGATTCTCTCCAAATTTTGCAGACAAATAGTGTATAGGCCACATATCAATTGCTGAAAATTTTAGCTTGCGGTTTGCAGGGAGAGCCGAGATATTCAACGGGCTTTTCCGACGAGAGAGTATGCAAAGTGAGGAGAGCGGTCAGAGAAAAGACGTTTTTTAGCCATATCTTTGCCAGTTTAGGTGGGAAAAAATTGATTTTTTGTGGGAATCTTACACTCTACGGTAGAAATAAGTGTGAAAATTTTCATGTTAAAATTTGCAAAAAAATTTCGAATTTTTGAAAATTTTTGATCAAAAAATTTCCGTTTTCTTCTGCAAAAAACAAGCTAAAAATTCCAAAATATCCTTGAAAAAATTCAGTCTTAATTTCAGTCAAATTCCATGACGATTTGTTCATTTTAAATACCAAAAATTTTCGAGATACCAAAAACTTTCGACATCGTATTTTATGGCTTTACACTTGCCCCAATTTCAAGCCCATTTCGAAAGACGCTTCATTCTTGGTTTACAGCCCAATGAAAAACCACACGGGTGGTCAGTTTTATCGACATTCCAGCGATGGTCACCGGAAGGGACCAATAAATTTGAAGGGGTTTAGCGCCGGACGTGAATTGATGGAAAAAGTTGCAAAAAAAAGTTAAAGAAAGTGCAGTAAAGATTGAAAAAAATAGAGAAATGAAGAGAAATTTTGCTGTGAAAAGTTTTTAAATGTGGTTTGCAAACAATTAAAAAAAAAAAAATTTTTTTTTTGAAAAAAATTTTTTTTTGATTTTTTCAAATATTTTTGATCTAAAATTTTTAAATTAATGCTTTTCATCATTTTTTATTTTTTCAATCCAAAAAAATTTGAAAAAAATAAAAAAATTTTTGCAAAAAAAAATTTTTTTAACAGTACGGTACTCCAAGTGCAACCCTCAGATTTTCTTCAAATTTTGCACACAATATTTAGACAAGCCACTTATTAATTCCTAAAAATTTTAGCTTGCAAATTGCAGCCGCAGCCGAGATATTCAACAATCTTTGCGGCCGAGAGAGTACACGAAGTGCGGAGAGCGGTCAGAGAAAACACACTTTTTGGCTGTATCTTTGCCAGTTTCGCGGGAAAAAAGTTGATTTTTTGTGGAAATATTGTGCTCTACGGTAGAAATAGACATGCAACTTTTCGCGGAAAAAATCGCAAAAAAAGTGTCGTATTTTAAAAAAAAATTTTGGGCTAAATCTCGGTCGTTTCTGCAGAGCGCAAGCTAGAAGTCTGGTATATGTCTTATAAAAAATTATTCTAAATTTGGGCCAAGTTTCATCAAAATCTGAGGGTCGCACTTGGTATAATTTATCTGTAATTTTTTTTTCATTTTTAAAATTTTTTTTATTTTTTTATAAAATTCACAGGGGAAGTACTCCAAGTGCGACGCTCAGATTTTGATGAAACTTGGCACAAATTTATAACAATTTTTTCTAAGATATATGCAAGAATCCTAGCTCGCGCTTTGCAGAAAAAACCGAGATTTTTCGATCGAAAAGGGCTCGAAATGGTCCAGTTTTACGGAGAGTTGGCACAAATTTACAGGGGAAGTACTCCAAGTGTGACGCTCAGGTTTTGATGAAACTTGGCACAAATTGAGAATAATTTTTTCTAAGATATATGCGAGAATCCTAGCTCGGGCTTTGCAGAAAAAACCGAGATTTTTCGATCGAAAGTCGGCCGAAATTTAGGACTTTTTGCCGAATTTCGGCACGAAAAGTTTCATGCTTATTTCTACCGTAAAGGATAATGTTTCTACGAAAAATCAAATTTTTCCGCACGAAACTGCCAAAGTTATGGCCAAAAAGCGTTTTTCTCTCTGACCGCTCTCCACATTTAGCGTGCTCTCTCGGCGGCAAAAATCGTTCGATATCTCGGCGGCGCCCGCAAAGCGCGAGCTAAAACTTTCAGGAATTGATATTTAGTCCATACCCGACGTATGTGCCAAACTTTAAAAAAAATCTGAGCGTCGCACTTGACGTACTTCCCTTATTAATTTTTTTTATAAAATTCAAATTCCGCAAAAAACGGCTGACAATTTGCGAGTAATTCCGTCGGCGAATCCCGCAGGATCAAATAAAAATAGTTACAAGTTTTTGCGGATACCGTAATCCGCATTCCGATCACTTCCTTCCGGTCACTATTTTCGCCATCGACAAAAAACAGCTCACGTGTGTTTCCGTTGATCATCAATTCAGTCATTTTTTGCGCTGCCTTCGTTTCCGATATTTGTTGTGCATAAAAAAACGGTTGTCACGATTTTTTGTAATTGCTGCAGGCGAGTTTGATGGATCACCGATTTCTTTATGTCAGGCAGGGCAGCAAGAGCTGCGGTGGCTGCGGAATTGTTGCGAACTGATTTTAGGATAAGATAAATGGAATATCAGTCTGTCGGGAAAATAATGAGCACAGTGTCGTTGGGCCGATCGTGTCGCTGAAGTGAAAAGAAACTTGATTTTTCCGCGAAGGCAATTCATTTTTTTGGCGACGGAGTGCTCATTATTTTCCCGACAGACTGATAAATAGAATTCCCCAAGCCAAAACTCACATCGAATGCTCATTATTTTCCCGACAGACTGATAAATAGAATTTCCCAAGCCAAAACTCACATCGAGTGCTCATTATTTTCCCGACAGACTGATAAATAGAATTTCCCAAGCCAAAACTCACATCGAGTGCTCATTATTTTCCCGACAGACTGATTCAAACACAGCTGTTTTCGAACAGAATTTTTTCTCTAACCGTCTCTCCTCATTCTCTTTAGTCTCTCGTCGGAAAAGCTCGTTGAATATCTCGGCTATCTCTGCAACGGAGAGCCTGCTATTTTCAAGAATTGATGTGCAACCTCTGTGACGTCTAACTCAATTTTTTCGAAGAAAATCTGAAGATGGCAACAAGCCAGTGAAACATTTGTTTATCTGCAGTCCCAATGTTGCGTGACCACCTACAACCCTCCTGAATTTAATTGCCCTTGCAGTTGCATCATAAAAACAAAGAAAAATTCATAGTCTACTCTTTTTACTTTGCCATTTTGCTGGGACACCCAAAATTTTCAAAAAATCGCCATAACGTCAGAGTACTGCAGTCAAATGGGATGAAACTTTGCATAGCTTATTCTTAAGGGTTGATTAACACTTGTCAAAACTTTCATGGCATTTGAGAAAAAAAAACCCCGAGATATGACCAAAAAATGGGGTGGAACCAAAAACCTGGGACGCAGTGTAGAATACTATCGGTCTGCCTGGAAAATAATGCGGATTTGTCGCAGCAAAGTGTCTCACCACTCCTTGAAATCACCCTCATCTTTTTGCGACGGTGTCACGACTTCGCGTGCGAATTTGCATATTCCCGCGGAATGACCGACAAATTGGTATAAAAGGAAGAGAAATCGCCAATTATTAGCATTAATTTGTGTTTTGACTTTGCCCGCTTATGCGG